CTCTGCATTCCCAGTTCTGTATCTCTTCACAATGCTGTTAGGATCACCTTCACACACCACAAAAATAAGTGGATAATATTCTCTTGGGAAATCTCATTAGTCAAAAATAAGTATGTTCTACCAGAGCAGCCCTTTTAAACAATTAAATTATCAGGTAAGATTTGAAGCATGAAAAAAAGTGATCTCAGCAATAATATTCTATGGGTTTCAACACATCAAGTGAGATCTGCTTTGCAACTTTTCACTGAAGGTCAATTCTGTAGAGAATTTTCCATACAGCATTATCTCTAGCTATTAAAATACATGTAATTCCACTTTATCTAAAAAAAAAAAAAATGTAGTAAAATATGAAGCATATCCTAAATTCAAGTAAAATTCCCTTACATGTAGGAGGTAATTTTAAATCAATATTTTCAGACTACCATCATAGAGCACTACATATAATTTGTTGTACAGAACCTATATGAAAGGAGTGCTTCCAGAGTAAAATGTTTTACTGAAAGGATAAAAACGCATATCCAATTCTACATGCAGTGTCTGTGGCAAAAGTCCTTCTCTTGTACTAAGGCCTTAGCTTATCCTAAAATAATGGCATTTTACCTCAAGTAGATCTGAGTTTAAAAAAAAAAAAATCATATACATACTGAAGCCTTCTCCATCACCCACAGGGGAATAATCAGCCCATTTTCTGTTACCCATATTTCTTTCTTACAACACTGATAACAGGATTTGTGGGTGCTGCTTTAATACAGCTCACTCTCTTTCTGCAAAACAACAGTTTTTCACTACCCTTCAAATCATGGGCTTTTCACGCAGGTATGAGAAGTGCAGGGTCAGGGTCTCCATTCTGCTCGTGCATTTCTGCTGCCTTCAGCTCTGCTGGGAGTGCTGACTGCCTGAGCATGTGTCAGCTGCACACCGTGGTGCTCTCATCAGCATGCTCTGAGCTCTGAGTCAGAGGCAGGAGCATCATCTGGATATAAACCAGACCTGCTTCATACACCTGGTCACCATCCTGAGGTCCATCACTCTCTGCTGGCCACACGAGCATTGCTCTGAAGGGCAGATTTTTTGTAAACTCTACATGACTGTACAAAAAAGTTATTACTGTGATCAATACAATGAATACTTTCATATGAGAACTGTGTACCCAGATAACAATCTTTATTTGATTATCTGCTAATGTACTTTATAGGTGAAAATCTTATCCTAAATTCCTGTTTAGGTGATATGGTAGTTTTTAATTAATTCACTTTTTCACCCTAACTTTCTGACACTTTGTCACTTAAGATCCACTGCTATCACATGGATGAACATTTCAAGCACTACAAAAAAATAAGTACTTGCATTCTGGTGAATTCAATCCTGAGATGACAACAAAATATATTCATCAAACTAGTTGAGAAAATAAATATATTCCATAAACCATAATCATAAAGGTAGACATATCTAATTGAGCGACCATCAGTAACAGAACAGAACAGAGTTGTTTATTCCTGAGATCAGGACGTCCCTTATTTTTAGAATTATGTTTCAAAAAATTGTCTCAGTGAAGCACTTGTCTCTTTCAAAATGGTTTCTAGACTATCCTGAAGAATAAAGTCAGAATTTAGTCACAGGAACTCATGAAAGCTTTCAAAGTTATTGAGTATTGGGTATGAGGAAAACTGCCCTCTGATTTCAAGTTCTTTTCAAATATCTAAATACTGATGTAGGTTTTTCAGTATGACAAAATAAAAGATGCATTAGGATTTTTTATCCAACACACTTGTCAAGGACTCAGAAAATGTGACTTGTACTCATTAACATGAATCACAGATAAAAATTAAGGTCAAAATATAGTCAAAACCCTGCATTTGTTTTGCCATCTGTATCAACAGGACGATCTCAAAGTAATCACATTATAGTGCAATAAAAGTCAGGCCACTTATAAATATCTTATAGACTACACTGTGTACTGTGATTTTAATATAAACGAATATGTCAATATTTTAATGACAAGGCTTAGTTGTAAAGTGTGTCATGCAGTAAGTAACCTATAAATGATTCTGAGTGGAGTCCATAGCAACTTTTACAGATATTAGGGGTTCCTTAAACTTCAGGTAAGTCCAACTTCTAACTTCATGCAGGGCAACCTAAAAGTTAAACCATGTATTTAAGAGCATTGTCCAAACTCTTGAACATGTATGGGCTTGGGACCATGACCACTTTCCTGGGGAGCTTGTTCAAATGCTTGACCACATTTTCCTTATATCCAATCTGAACTTCCCCTGATGCCCCTTAGAGACATTTTTATGCATGTGCAGCATTTGATGTAATGGGAATATATGACACAGTGGAAGTCTTCGTGGTTTTTAAAGTGAAAAACTACCAACTAACAAAAATAGGGGTCACTTTGGCCAATTTAACATTGGCTGGAAGGTAAAAGCCACATGAACTGAATTTAGAAATAACGTGTATGTTTTTAACTGTTTTGGTCATTGACTTGGAAAAACCATGCACTCTTTGCCATTTGTAGGAGGACTCATTTGATGGAGTATAGAAGCTTACAGAGTAGACATCTACAGTTAGACTAAGATCATAGATTTCCCTCACAGACAACAGAAAAAAATGCGCATTTTTAAGGTGTGATTTACCTCATCTTAGAGTAGATACTTAAATTAGGACAAACTAAGTAGACTAATAGACTTCTCCAAAAGTCCTTATTTCAACAGTTTTACAGGGTAAATATCCATGTAAGAGGAATCCTTATCTTAATATATTTAAAATCAAATCCGAATGCCTCTGTTAACAATAAGCCTTATTTTTAAACACCATTTCTAGGTTAAATGAAAAAGTAACAGCAACATTCTGCAATATTACCATCCCTCCTGTTCTGAAATCCCTTACACCTAAAACTGAAGATGACAACCAAGAACTGCCAATGAGTTTCTCAGTACTTCTACTTTCAGTTTGAGTATGAAGAATTTTTTTTCTGCATTCTAAAGGAGGTTTACTAGCACTTTTTGAAAATATTTGGTCATTCCTAGCATTTTATTCTATGCAAGCATTTTTCCACTGCACTGTCTTCATAGATTCTCTTACACAGTCAGTGAAAACATGAGGAATTTTCTTAAAAATAGAATGCAAATAAAAACCGTCACAAAGTGTGACTCTCCGAATAAAACACCTTCAAAATTTCCTCACAATTGCAGCAATTACTCAAGAGAAAGTGAAAATAAAGAAGACCTGGAAGACCACTCTCCCAGCATGTGACAGTGTTGCTAGCACATGTTAATCGTCCACAGTTACAAGAAAAATAGAGAAAAGTCAATCAACCAAGAAAATATATTTTAATAGCATTAAATTAATACCTGTTTGAAATAGACTTTTATCAAAATCAAAAGTGATACGTCTTCTTGTATCCTCAGAAAACATTTGTCTTTTAATGCTTATTCTGTGTTCAGTGCTTTAAAACCATTTTTCTTCAAGATCCATAGTCCAACATATTTTTTCAGAAAGCTATTCTTTTGAATATGTGGACATTTTTCAATACTCAAATATTTTATTGCGACATTTAAAAAAATTCATAAGCAGCATTAATACTTAAAAATATTTTATCTAGAACATCATACTTATTAATTTGAATATTGTGTTGCTCTATTTCATGGAATTTCTTAGCTTGGTTGCTTTGCAACCACACTCTCCTTTGCAGGCAGAATAAATGATTTGGATTAAATCTCTCTCAATTTACTATACACAAAGAGTTCAAGGAATATAGTTCAAGATACAACCTAACTAATAAATAAGGAAGATTTGGAACTCTTAACTATACAATTTTATTGCTCAAGAAACATCTTAACAACCCTCTGAATATTTTTTTTTAAATTATCTCTTTTCTGTCAAGTTTTAAACCTTCAAAACTGTCTTTCCATTTCATGGGGGAAAAGAAAGGATACATTTTTGATGTAACCCTCATTTTTAACAGACTAAAGGAACTGCAGTTTACAAAGTTCCTACAAATTTCAACCACAATAGAAATCATCCCGTGGGAAGTCTGCCTGGCCTTCTCATCCAGCCACATATAGCTTTTGTTAGAGGCTTTAGACAGTGTTGAATACTGTTCTGCATAATACTCCCATAATATTCCCATTCTCTTTGAAAACTGAAGGTTTGTGTTATGGGAAGAACAATTTAACCAAAAATAGGAGTGAATACACATAATGAAAACAGTGTGTAATCTGACCCTTGGGAAAGAAAGGCACATGTCTATCTCCATGGTTTTTCTTCCTTGCTACATCTCCATCTCCTACCTAAACATTACCAATTCCAAGTGCCAGCAGCTACAAAGTTGGTATAGGATCAAAAGAGGCAGAACAGCAGTGGAACTTTAAAATGGTATAAGAGGACATCTGTTTTTCCTCCTCCTGCTATCTCCATACCAAACTTAGGGAAAGGAACTGGAGGAGCATGGGAAGAAAGCAGATTAACACTGAGAAAGAACAGTCAGTCTACATGTTCTTTTATGCAAGTCTACAACTAAAGAAAAGAGGTATGTGGCCTCCCAAAGCTGCAGAACTTTCTGAGAGCCACTACACTACCTGCTGAAGTTCAGATCAGGCGCTTACTCCTGAAGCAAATTTCTTTATTGCCATCACATACTGTGCTTTGGTTTGTAGCATGGGACAGTCCTGAATCATGGGAATCGTCTCCTTCTCACACGATACTGAATTGGAAGAAGGGCTCTAGGGGTGCCCTTCAGCCACAAATATGCATTCAATGCATACAAAAAGGCAACAGCTTGTCCATGTGATCTATTGTGCTTACTAAAATAGGGCATAACGTACACAGCTATTGATGAGCACCAGTGAAATATATGTAACACACAAAAAAGGACTGTGACATATTGATGCAATTGTAAATTCTCCTAGCAATAAACAGACTTCTAATAAAAGAATACGATATAATGAATCAGGTCCATGTATCGCTGACTAGCTGAGAATAAAGAGTAAAGGGGTTACCTTAATAGGGCTTCCATCTGGAGTGAGAACCTCTTCTGAAAGCTCCATCATCTTCAGTGCCATCAGGGCAATGGCTTTAGCATGACTAAGGCTTTTCTTATGGAGCCCTGCTGCAACACAGTATGCATCACCTATTGTTTCCACCTGCAGCAATTAGAAAAATCAAATGTTAAAGTATGATAATGAGAGGGGAACCCTACCATTAGGGTTGCAATCAAATAGCATTTCTTAAAACGTGAGCAAAATATCCATAAATAAGCAATTAGGCAACGGAGCATAATTACCTGAGTTTCCAAACAGGTGCAGTCAAAACCTGACTTGCAATTGCATAGTTGTTTGTCTCCATTATAACCAAAGAAGATAATCTAGACCTGTGTATATCATCAGCTGAGGTAGGACAACATTTTCCCATAGCAGTAACACAGAAAACTGCCTTTTCCTAAATGAGAGATTGCTTGCAGCTTTGTTTCACACTATCTTGGCTGAGCTTGCTGTAGGGTAAGAATAGTGCTACATAATTATAATTTATAATTAGTATTTGCTGTGCTAGAAAATTATATCAGGAAGATAATTAGAAAAAGCAAAACATGACCATAAAAACCACTGTAGAGTATATAACTTCTCATTAGTGGGTAGCTCTTCCTGCTGTAGGGATAATTTACAAATAGATGCTATTGTTACAGACTTTTGACTGCACCTTTCTCTGTTATTTTCAAATAAGAATTGATGCCTCTCTCTACTACACAGGCTATCTGACTCTGAATTCCCTACCTGAAGGCCATGAAGTTCAGCAGACTGATCCCTCTGGTCTCATCAGACAGGCCTTGCCTCTCTCTTATCCTTTATTTTCTTTAAAGAAAGCTGTCCCTCAGGAGGAAGAGAGAGCAGAGTGAATTGCAGAAGCCTTCTGGCTCTTGATAAAGGCAGCCTGAGAAATCCTGAGGCCTTCAAGCTTTATTGACAGTATTGTGTTGTGCAGTCTGCTTGCCCATACATCTGTAACATTCTCACACACGGTCTGTTAACACATGCCCAGCCAGACCTCAAGAATTAGTTTGGGTTTACTACATTACTAATCTGGCTTTCACCGTGAACAGAACACTACAGAAATGTCAGAAAATGCTTCAGCAAAGACTAGGGTGAGAAGAAAGCAAGTACTGAGAAAGGAGTTATTCAGAGAATAAATACAGCTGATTTTTCTCTCAGTAGAGAATCTACTAATAGTAGACCTGGACCTTCTCAAGTCAATTTCCCATCTGGATAAATTGGAACCAGTATCTCAATAGAAATAGTATCTGAAACAGTTAGTATTACATGTAAATGCAACATGAGTGTGAATCCAAAAAAGCAGTATAAGCAAATATTTCCCATCACCAAACTTAACAGAAGCTGCTGTAGACCCATTTGCCAAGTTTGCCACCTTAGCCTTTCCAGATGATTGTGCAGGAGGATATATATAAGAAGCTGAGGGTTTCTCATGAGCTGAGACAGCTGTTTAAGCTCCTTTGTCACTTTTGGAAGCTCCTAATAGAAAAAAACATGTAGGAACAATCAATCTGCCTGCCTGTTTTACCCAAGATGTATCTCTGGATGTCTGTCCACAAGCAGAGACTGGCAGTACCTTGCAGTTTAGGAGGTTGTCTTTCCAAAGACAAATGGATGGGCAAGTATACTGCAATGGTTGGTGAAAAATGTAGAAACTTGGGAAGAAAATACACAAGCACAGTGAGAACAAGTATCAGAAGTTAAAATGACTTTCTGGATGGCTATGAAATAAATAGTAAAAAAAATCTCTAAATCAAAAGAACTAGCAGAAATCCATTGTCATTCTTAAAAATCATGGATGAACATAACCAGTAGGAATAGACACAAAGGGGGTACTACAGAAAGAGCCAAGTCCATGATGAAAAATACAAAAATGAAACACAAATTCCACTCTTTGTTGACTGACTAAATTTTAGAAGGACTTTTGCACTGAAGTTACATTACACCACTGTAAATAAGTAGAGATCTGGAACCATACACTGTTTCCATAATGTCCAGGCAAAACTGGTTATTTTGTTAGCTTCTTCCCCTTTGGAAATTTCCATAAATGTGTAAACTAATTTAACAGCTAAACTGCATGCACTGAATGTACTGTACTACCAGTAAAATGGAACTGAAGCTGCCTCATGTTAATCTTAATATAAAAATTATAATAATGCCATTGCTCTTTAAAGTGCTTTTCACTATGAAGTTCCTCTGACAGCAACACTGGAGAACCAACGGAAGGATTAAGATTATTTAGACTGACCTCGTAGTTGAAGCTGGATGAGTACTGACAGGGTTGTCTAATGATTTACCATTCTATGACCCTGTTTTCAGTCACTACTAAGATTTTCCCCAACTAAGCATTTAAGCTGAAATTTCCATTATGAGTATCTCTGTCTAACTTTAACCTTGGTTCCATGCTTATTCAAAATCAGATTTGACAAATTTACCAATTACCTGACCTTTTTCTCCCCAACCCTTTTTTCTAAAAAAAGTTCCAGGAGTTCTTGTAATTCAGGTTGTTCATGGCATTTTGATTTGGCCCACTTGCATGGAGTCATAGAATCATGGAATGGTTCAGGTTGGGACATTGACATTGACAGGGACATCTTTCACGAGATCAGTTGCTTGAGGCCCCATCCAACCTGACCTTCAACACTTCCAGGGCATCCACAACTTCTCTGGGCAACTTGTTAGTGTCTCAACACCTTCACTGTGTTTCTCTTCATCTTTCTTATAAGCCCCTCTATATATCAAAGGCCACAAAAAGGTCTTCCTGGAGTCTTCTCCATGTTGAATAACCCCAACTTTCTCAGCCTGTCTTCACGGGACACGTGTTCCAGCCCCATGGTCCTTTTCATGGCCCTCCTCTGGACTTGCTCCAACAGGTCCACGTCCCTCTTATGTAGGAAATCCCAGAGCTGGAAGCAGCACTCCAGGTGGAGTCTCCCAGAAATTGGTTGGCTTTCTGGACTGCAAGTGCACATTGCTGGCTTATGTTTAATTTTTCATCTATCAGTATTTCCAAGTCTTTCTCTGGAGAGAGGGTCTCAATCCATTCATCCCACAGTCTGTATTAATATTGGAAATTGCCCTGACCCAGATGCAGAACCTTTGCATTTGGCCTTTTTGAACACAGGAGTATATGAGGACATTAAAATAGAGACTGTAGTAAGAGTGATACATCACATGGGCCTGTCAGTGAGTCAGACACACATGCAAAAAGAGATTTCTCTCACCTCAGCTGAGGAGTAGCAATTGGACCAGAAATATAAAGCACTGCTTATAGTTCACTCCAAAGTATCTGCTGGGCAGATCCTGAAACTGTGCACACCACAGAGCAACCTACTCCATAAATATTCAAGTAAATGTCAATAGGATTAAAAGAAAAGGAAGGCACTAGTCAAGATGGCTAAAAATTGCTGCACTCAGATTTATTGGATGCTCTTCAAGATGCTGATATGCAGTAATAAAACTCCAGAGGAAATCTCTACCATGTGATAAACTAACTTCTGAGTTTTTGACTTTGTAATGTGACTGTTATACTGCATTAGTAGTAGTATATTTGACTTTTATATCCTTCCTAGGTACAACATGCAGGAAAAGATATTTTGCTTTCACTGTGAGATTGGAATACATTATCCTGCTTCTTTTAAAAAATGAAATATATTCTGCTCTGAATGTTACAGCCATTTTTTGCATACGATTGACAGTTTACCAATATCAAGATTTAGTACATTTTTTTTCTAGTTAAATGATAGTTTCTTACTGTTCTTAATAGTTCTAGCTACTCACTAATAGCTTGGTTTACTGCTACCTACTTTTCACCCCTCTTCATCGGTTTATGCTTACAATGTCCAGCTTCACTGGAGCTTTCATTAATTGGTAAATAATATACAGCACCATAGGAAAGAAGTGGGGTTGAACTTGGATTCCAAAATTAGACTGACCTATAAAAAAATTTCTAGCAGAATCTCTAGCAGAATTAACAAAAAAATCATACAGGAAATATTGCAGCTACTTGCACTGCTGTACTAAGGCCTCTGCTAGAGCCTTTTGCAGCTCTGTGTCTAGTCACTGGAAATGCCCAAATGTTTTTCAGTCAGGTCCTCAATAAATCAAATAGTAAAATAAATAACTAATTTAAATAGTTGTGTGCAGTCTACAATTCAGTAAAAATTTCTTGACAGATATCCTGAGCCTGCTGAATACTGAAGAGTGATAATGCATAACACTTGCAGCAGTAAGCAAACAAAAATATCTTGTGCTTTTGGGAAGTCATTTTCTATATACCAAGCTTCTGTTAGTGCTCAGTAGAGACTGTATGTCTGTTTTAGACCTGAAGAGTACTTTTTACAGAAATTGTCCTCTATGTTAATTGTCTTACAGTTATTTAATCTTAATTCAAAACATTCATAGTTATTTATTATCTTACTTGTAAGTGTTTTAATATTTAGTAACCATTCAACCTAAAATAGTCTTTGCCACTGTCCCTTATGGATTGTTCAATGCTTGTTTGCAAAATTAATAAAATTTGAAATAAAAAGTTGGACTGCCTTTCAACTGAGGATAAAGAACTATGGTCTATACACTCCTGGATGCCTTCATGTTATACACGGAGGATCAAGTGAATACAAGATTACTTTGGAAAGTAAATATGTATGATTTCATAACTATCCTTTGTTCAAGGATGCTCTTCCTTGAGAAAAGGAAGCCTTTCAGTGATACATGTTTGAGGAAAAGTATATTATGCTGATCAATTTTATTTTTTTTGTTTATTCCACTGACAAATATAGATCATGTATATAAATGTATCATACACATAAATTTTAGATAGAGTAACCAGATATAGATATTCTTCAGCCATGCCTTGATTTCTTACCCTCCTTTTTATAGAGCAACAGATGTTTCCTCCAATTCATCTGTGGCTCTCTATGCATCAAATGCTGCTTGTGGTCTCCCCCATTTATGTTATATTAATCACCAGAAATATTTATTTCTGCTTAAGTATTTGGTCATAATCATTCTAATTTTCAGTTGGCAAGAAAACTTGGAATATTAAACAATTTCTCTACATTCAACAACCTGTTTACAGGACCTGTATAAAGTGTATA